AATACAGGAAAACTTTTCTTACACGTAAAAATACTGATTTATTCAACTGAACTTACCCGAAAGGGTTCTCAGATTATTCAGCTGTGATTTTTTTTCAGATTTTTCTTCAAAATATTAGTACAAGACGCCACATAAAAATCTTACAAAACGAATGACAGAAACACACTGTCAAAATGACAGCAAGAGAAATTCGTTACCAGCGTTGCCAATGCCAATTGTTCAAAATCCCCAAAAACCACGGTTAAAATCCTCAAATTTGGGGAGAACAAAGTTCATATTCCCTACAAATTCCCCACATCTCGAGTTTTTATTATTTATTACAAACACATCGCTTAAAAATAATTATAACAAAGAATTAAGAAATTCAAAATGTAATCATTTAATACGTTTGCTGTGAATGTAAACAGAATGTAAAATGTAAAGTATATTATAAAATTACATGACCTGAAATCGTTTATTTATTTTAATGAGATTCAATATTAATCAAACTTTGAAAAAAAGAATCATTTTTCTTTGCCTCACAAAGTTAAGTAACTTAATTATTTTGTTGCGCATTTGGTGACACTATGGTTAATGTTAAAAAAAATCAATGAATAAATTAAGTTCCGACCTATATTTAATATTTAAAGTTGACGAGTACCGAGTGGCAAGTTGTGGCGTGGCGGCAAGTAGCTGCTCGGCTTTGTTTATCAATAGCTTTCCGTTTCCAATTTTCGTCGGAACCACATTTTCCTCACATAGCGCCAATCCCCACAAAATTTCAAATTTAGTTGAAATTCCCCGCAATTTGGGGTATTCCCCACAAATTGGCAACCCTGTTCGTTACGTTTTATATACTGTGCAGAGCAAATGTCATTCTTGACATTATGGCGCATTTACACCGGGTCGTCTGCCGACCTTCGACCGACGACTTCCCTTGCCGAAGGCGACCGCGACACAGTCGACTCTCCGTTTATACCGAGTCGTCTGCCGTAGACTTGTGCCTGATCGATCCTTAGCGGGAGCGATCCTAGTTAGTTCAATCGGTCAACTGAACTAGGTCGGGCTTCTAGTTCATTTAGTTCATTAGTTAGTTAGTTAGTTCGTCAAATTTGTCTTGCCTTGCTCGGACATTGACCGAACGCTCCAAACTAGTAATTTTATTCACATGAACTACTACAGACTTCTAGTATTATGAGGTCAATAGTACACTGTACTAAATATTTAAAAATACAATTTGTATGGAATCGGTACTACATATTTGATTTTCCTTCATATTTTACAGATTTAAGCTGTCATTCTAACTAAATATCCTTTTTTACAATACAAGAATTTTAGTTAGAATGATGTGTTTAAAAACCCACATTTATGTACAACTATTTCATATACTCGTACACGTAGGTTGACATTATACAAACAGATACCTACTACACCTACCAAAAAATAGAAGCACTTACTTTTTGCAAACTTGTATATATACATAACGTAGATACGTATTACAGACTTAGAACGGGCTGGCAACGTTCAATCATACTTCCCACTCGAACTTGTACTAAAAGTAGTGAACAATCGCTATCTATCCCGCTCGCACCGTTCCTACTGAATAAAAGACAGGTGAACTATCAACGCAGACAGTGCCTAGTTCGTACTGAATTAAAAAGAACGATGAACTATTAAAACAAGACGAACTAGTTTATGTCGGTCAGTGTCGGGAATATATTCCTAATAGTTCGTAGTACATGAACTATACAATACTTCGCCTTACTGAAAGCGCTTACCCAATCGCTTCGGTCGACTTCGATTGCAAACTACCGTCAGCTTTAGATGACTCACTATTTACTCCGGTTAGTTTGCCACATTCGGCAAGCAAGTGCAAAACGACGGAGCCATACATTTAAAAAACTTGAACTTGAACTTGAAGCGAAGGTCGCTTGACGACATGGTGTAAATACGCCATTACAGTCGTCGCGTTAAAAGGTGAGGAAATGTATTCGATTCGAACTTCATCATTCTTTACAATAAGTAAACCATTCGTTCATCTACAAGAATGAACAAGTCAATATATTTCCGAAAAATTTCAAATAGTGAAATTTCCGGAACATTTTCTGAAAAATTTGAAAAATATAATTCGAGGGTTCATGTTTAGATATATTTTTTTGAAGTTTAAAGGCCTATTCACACACAACAGGGCCGAGCGCGAGACGTAGGCGGACCGTGTTAGTGTGTATGAACTCCGGGCTAGTCCCGACGCCTTCCGGGACACGGACATGTGTGAACGAGTTCATACAAAATATACGCAGCGATATTTTTTTGAGCCCCTACCGGACCACGACCCGTTTATGTTCCGGGCACCACCCTAGTCCTTTATTTAGCATGAATTATAAACTAAAATTGTACAACTGAAAGCAAGTTAGAGTAAACGAGATTTAATATGATTGGACAACAGCAAAAAAAAAGAATCACAGGTAAAAAATGTTTGTATTGGATCCATCGTTTTCGTTCTGTGTCTTTTACTTTTGATAGGATCAACGTCAAATGTAGCAAACTATAGGAAAAAAATTTAGAAAAATATTAATTTAATAAAATAAAAAATTCTCAAAATGTACATTTTTCCTTGACCGAAAACTAAATTGTTTTACAAACCGTTCTCCACAACAGCGGTCAGCTATAGAGGTTTCAGGAATAAATACCTTGCTGCCCAATTGTAGGCGTTTTCGATCGGAACCGACTGTGCCATTGCCGGGGAATCGCCTCTCCCAATTAAAAATTAAAAATTAAACTTATAGGTCTTGAGGGAGGGGAGAGTCTAAAAAAGATTTATTATTAATAGGGGTTAAAGTATGAAATTGCCGATTTGTACTGAAAATCTAAATTGTTTATTTTTTAAATTTTTAACAAATTTATTTAATCAAAATAGTTGCCATTATTATCTATACATTGCTGCCATCTAATGGGAAGGTTATTAATGCCTTTGCGATAGAACTCCGACGATCTAGACTGCACAAACTGTGTGAAAGCATTTTGTACTGCCTCCTGGGAAGAAAACTTCTTGTCACGTAGATAATTGTCCAAATCACGAAAAAAATGGTAGTCCGTTGGAGCAAGGTCTGGTGAATACGGAGGATGACGAATGGTTTCTAACTGCAGTTCCTGAAGGGTCAAAATGGTTTCTCGTGCTGTGTGAGGTCTCGCGTTGTCGTGGAGCAATAATGGTGAAGATCGATTCATGAGTCGGGGCTGTTTTACTGCTAGTTTTGTCAACATGGTTCGGAGTTCGGCACAATAGACATCTGCCGTTATTGCTTGACCAGATCGGAGAAAACTATAGTGAATAACACCATGCTGAGACCACCAAACAGTTACCATTACCTTTTTATTGGTAAGTTTTGCTTTAGGACACTGTTGTGGCATTTGACCTGGGGTCAGCCTTTGCATTTTTCTTTTCCGGTTATCATAAAGAATCCACTTTTCATCACATGTTACAATTCGATCCAATATTCCTTCATTTCTGTACCGGTTCAACAAGGCAACACAAGTTTCAACACGCGTTTCTTTCTGCAGATCAGTCAAATCATGAGGCACCCATTTTTCGTATTTTTTTATTTGACGCAAGTGAGTCAATATTGTGGGTAAGGTAACGTTAAACCATGCCGCTAATTCCTGGGTAGTTTGACTAGGATCGGCTTCCACTATCTCTCTTAATTCATCGTTATTCACCTGTGTGGGCGGTCTTCCTCGTGGCTCGTTCTTTAAGTCGAAATTTCCATCACGAAAGCGTTTAAACCAAAATCGCACGGTGCGTTCATTAGTAGACCCCTCTCCAAACGCAGCATTGATATTGCGGGCTGTTTCTGCCGCGTTAGTTCCGCGTCGGAACTCGTATTCAAAAATCACTCGAATTTTCGCAGTATCCATCTTTCTTGTCTAAATTGAATAACAAAAACAATTGAAAGTCGATATTCAAATGTTTCAAATTTAAAAAAAAAAATCACAGAAACCATTTGAAAAAAGTTTCATTCGAAAACCTCAAACCATGAAGATTCTATGAAAATTCAAAGAACCTATTGCAATAAAACGGCAATTTCATACTTTAACCCCTAATATTATTATTATTATTATTATATTTATTTTAAACTCTCGTCTCTCCCAAGGCCTAAAAGACTAATTTTGAATTTTTATTATTATTATTATTTTTATTTTTATTTTAATCTTATTTTCTTATTTTTTATTATTATTTTATTTTTATTTTTATTTTTATTTTTATTGTTATTTTTATTATTATTATTATTATTATTATTATTATATTTATTTTAAACTCTCGCCTCTCCCAAGGCCTAAAAAATTAATTT